TAATATCACTTTACGTCTAAATAGAATCAATTAAAAAAATGCACTCACAAAAAAAAAGCATATGTTCACTTATGTGTGCACCAGAAGATGTTCCCATGTCCAGTTCAGGAACACGCAGCCATGACCAGCGGTGGGGGTTAAAGCTATGCACTATGCACTCCGCTCCTCAGTTGCCTATGCACTAGCATGTAGTCTAAGGTCCCTGGTGTTGGATTTATCTATTGGTACACAGCAATTCAACCCATCGGGAACCCGTGGTCAACGTATTCACCCGCCAGACACAGGTCTTCAAACGGCGTTAAGTCTGTGTGCGGTGAAGGGGAGTTGGTGTACCTGGAGAGGAAACTACGTAGCTGGAAGGTTTACCATCGTCGAAGAGGGGGTGTGACCAGGTCAGCTAGGGAATCTAATCTCATAAAATCCTGCAGAGGTTGGCAGTGCGCAATCCGGGAACTGTTCGAGCGCACTAGGCAGGAGAATTAATTATCCTCTATACCCAGTACAAAGGCCGGATCACCCACGACCGGGGTCAGCAAAGAAGGGGATGTACCGTGGGGGAGTATTTTGGGCGTCGCTTTGAGCAAGCGGATTGTGACACCCACAAGAGGGTGAAGGAGTATGTCCCTCGGAAGAGGTTGCGTCGTCCATAGAAAGCCTGCTATAGGCAGGGAAAAGGCAGCTTGTTCTAGTTGTATCCAACGTTTGTCAGAGTTGACATTGCACCACTTAAGTGCCTGCGCCATATGTGCAGCCAGATGGTAGCGGAGGGGGTCTGGAAAACCAATCCCTCTTCTAGATTTAGGTAGTGCTAGGAGAGATTTGTTCAGTCTGTGTGCTCCGTTTGCCCATAGGAAGGATGTAAATTCCCTCCGCACAGATTTGAGAAATGTCATTAGGATATGTATTGGTAAGGTCTTGGAGAACATTCATCCTCAGTACGCTGTTTCTTCCGAACCACGAAAGAGTATGACCTGCCCATTTGGCGAGATCACGGTGAATTTCCGCTAGTAGCGGTGGGAAGTTAGCCTCAAACACTTTGTGGATAGTAGGAGGCAGTTTTGTCCCCAGGTATGTAATATAAGTTCGAAGTCTCACCATACTCCTTCAGTTCGTGCATCAGATTCGGGAGGGAGATAGTGGGCTCAGTCAGAATGAATAAGAGATCATCAGCATAACCAGCTATTTTGTGTGCCTTGGGGCCAGGCAGCAGTCCAGAGATGTTTTGATTAGCTCTTATTTTACAGAGAAGGGGTTCTAACCATAGGATGAAGAGTAGGGGGCAGAGTGGGCATCCCTGCCTGGTGTCGTTAGACAGCGGAAAGTAGTCAGAATATGATCCATTGCTCGTACTCAAGCCTTGGGGGTGGAGTTAATGGCGCATATCCATCTGCGTATGTTGTCTCCGAAACCCATCACCCGAAGCGTCGAGTGGAGGAACGACCAATTTACACGGTCACATGCTTTTTCCGCATTGGTGGATAGGAGAATCGTGGTTATACATTTCTCTGTGGCGTAGTGAATCGCATTCAGCACCCTGACCATGTTATCCTTAGCATCTCTGCGCGGCAAGAAGCCTACCTGGTCAGTATAGATAAGCCCGCAGACCACCTGCAGTAGCCGATTGGCCAGAATCTTAGAGAACAGTTTCAGGTCTATGTTCAACAGCGAGATTGGACAGAAGCTGGAGCAGAGTGAGGGATCTTTTCCTGCCTTGGGGATCACGGTGATGGTAGCTCTAAGGGTGTCTACTGGGAAGGAGTGACCATTAAGTAAGGAGTTATACGCCTGTAGAAATGGCGTTGTCAGTTGTTCCCTGAAGGTTTTAAAGTATTGGAGGGAGAAACCGTCAGGTCCCGGGGCCTTACGCGGTTTCATTTGTTGTATGGCCCTAGTCCATTCTCTAGCGGATATGGGGGAGTCTAGATCCGCCGCCTTCGTAGAGGAAAGGCCCGGTAAGTTCGCCTCTGCGAGATAGGCTGGGATCCTGGATAAGCGTCTTGCAGTGCTCTCTGGAGTCTGTGGGCCCTCCAAATTGTAGAGCTTCACGAAAAATTCCCTGAAGCGGGCGGCTACGTCTCCTGAACTAGATAATAAGGCGCTGTCGCGCCCGGCAATGGAGGGAATAAAAGCTTGGGCCCGTGATTCTCTAAGCGCCGATGCCAATGATCTGCTAGGTTTATTGCCATACTCATTGTATGATCGTTAACTCTCAACTGTCTGGCCTTGATCTTGCCCAACAACAGGTCATTTAGTCTTTGACGTAACGTCCATAATTCAGCTTCCACCGCTATTGCGAGAGATGACGGAGCTCTAGCTGGCCTATTTGAGCTAAAAGCACGGAGATCGTTTCTAGACGTTTCCGTTTTGCGTGTGAGGCATGAGATATAAAGATCCCTCTTGTGAAGCACTTGTGAGCTTCCCAGATAGAGGGGATATCTCCGGAGTGTGGCTGTGAAGAAAAAAATTAGTCAGTTCCGGACTAACCCGAGTCGTCAGTAGGGTGTCATCTAGGAGGAGGTCGCTGAGCTGTCAATGCCATGGTCTTGTGCCCTCTGTATGAAGAATGATGTCCATCAGAATCGGGGCGTGGTCAGAGATTGTGAGGACGTCTATAGACGTGGCACGTACTCTATGCAGATCTCTTTGCCTGATGAAAAAGTAGTCAATCCGCGAGTAAGTGCATTTTTTTATTGATTCTATGCAGACTAAAGTTATTATGACACTATTAGTGCACTCTCTGCCCTGTTGTTTTGCCTTTAGATTGCTGGTGGTTGTTCTCCGGGTCGCATTTTGTGGTGATCTGCAAAATTACTGTACTCCTTTTGATGGCCCCTTTGTATGATTCATAGATCTTATAACTTTGTCAGCCTAAAATGTGATTGTCTATTTGCACTCTGGATATACTGTTTTAACTGTCAGGCAGCATTACATAGCTGCTGGGGAATGGATAGATTGATACTAGACATGTGTGATTCGTTTCGTTCCAAAACTAAATTCGGACACATTTTCAGAAATTCGGACATTTGGATGTATCCGAATTCCGAATTACAGATATAACGAATGCAAACGAATCCGAATTTCCGTTTCAGAAATTCATTAGCGGTAGTTAATTCGAACGTTTGTTTCTTATTTGTTTTTTATTCGTTTGTTGCAGCAAAGTGACATTAGAGAAGGAGAAAAACATTTTCCCCCCCTCAAATGTCACTTTGCTGCAACGAACGAATGAAACGAATAAGAAACGAAAACGAAACGAACGTTCGAACGAACTACCACTAATGAATTTCGTCCGAATTGACTTTCGCACCCGAATCCTGAAAAACGAAATAACACAAAATCTGATTCAAAACGAAACAAAACTAAACAAATGTTTTGCCATGTCTAATTGATTCCGTCACAAGGTACATGAGATAATATACTATTGGGGTTATTCACTAAAGGGTGAAGAGTTTGGAGAAGGCAGGAGAAGTGAACAATCTAGGACAAAGTAGCTGATTTGGAAAAATTCTTCAATTCAGCTCACCAGTTTAGCCATGTTGTCCTAGATTGTTCAAGTCTCCTGCCTTCTCCAAACTCTACACCCTTTAGTGAATAACCCTTTATATGTTATGTTAGGTATTTACTCTTGCTGCAGTACTTAGTATGTAAAAGAAAAGGGGCATATTTGTCAGGGGCGTAGATAAGGGGGGGATAGGGGGGTTCAAACCCCGCCCAGAGTGTCCTGGTGTACGGAGATCGGGATTGGTAGCTGACTGTGTTTTTGATACTTGTGGACTGCCGATCGCGGTTCAGACAGAGGGACAGACCAGTGAACACACTGTAGCAGGGGGTGAGGCCGTTCAGGTAACTCCATTTCCCAGCAGGCAATGGGTCCCGGGAACGAGCGGCGGCTGGCCGCAATTCAGGATGGCCGAGCGGTGTTCCGAT